GTTGTACTAAAATCTAGTGTGTTTTCTAGAAAGATCTTTTAGTTCTTGCTAATAGCACGTGTGTTGTTTGTTTACTTATTGTTTTTCCGTTAATTCTAAAAATAGTAACGTGATCTGCTGTTTGTTTGTTTGTTTATTTTTCTGATTTTACATGTTTGTTGTTTTGTTGTTGTTTACGTGTTTTAAGATCAGATTTTCAAGGTCTAATCAAATTCCCCAAAATTTTTCAAAAATTTTCTAAAAATTTCTAAAAAATTTGTTGTCGCTAAACTAAAGGTCTTGAATACAAGCTTCTTCTAATAAACTATAGATTATTTTAAGTGCTCTCTCTTTTTACTTAGTACAAGATACCTTGTTTCTCATACTAGATTTGGAGATAATTGTTGTTTTTGGTTTTGACCGAATAAAAATTGCAGATCAGCGGAAAGAGTTGCTTGAATATTTTATTTTAATGATATAAAACATTATATTGCTAATTTTAAAATAAGATTATTATGTTGTATATTTTTTATTCTATAAATTCTAAAATTCTGCTACTATTTAATTTCTCCTGTAATCTTCTATAGTTACCCAATTCATCTTTCTATACTTCATTTCTTTATTTTCTACTAGTAGTCTGCTTTGGTACTTCAGTCTTTTATTTTCTCTCTTCTTTTTGTGTTTTGTTTAGTTTCTAAGATTCATCTTGCTCTTCTTGCTCTTCTTGCTCTTGATAGTATTCTTTATACAGATTTTCTTCAAAAGTATTTGTTTGTAGCTCCTTTTTTTTTCTAGTTTTTTCAATGCTACTTCAGATTCTTCTACTTCTAGATCTTGGTTAGTTTGTTCGAGTCTTTTTTTTACTCTTTTGTTAGAACTTTGTGCATTCTTTCTATCTTCTACTCTATAGCCTTTATTTTTTTTAATAAGTGTCTTTCAGATTCTTGTATACTTTTCTTAACTTTTTGTCTTTATAAAAACTTTTCTACTGTTTCAGATGTGAAGTTTTTCTTTTTTTTCTTCTAATTTTTGACTCTTCAGAACTGAGTATCTGCTTTTTCTTTTTTATTTTGTAAGCTTGCTTTTCTTCTGTATGACTTCTTTTGCAGTCTAAAGTACTTCTCTTGATTTCTGTATACTTTTTTATAATTCTTCTTGCTATTCTAAACCTGGTATTTTTCTTTTTTTTCTAATTCTTACTTCTATTATTCTTTTTGTTACTGCATTTTGTATAGTATTTTTTTATTTATGCTGATGTTTGTTAATAATCTAATTCATCTACTCCATTTATCTAAAATATCTTTTTCTTCTTTTTCTGATCTTTAATGTTATTTTATCTACTTTCTGAGCTTACTTAGTATATAAACTCTATTATTTACTTTAGTATTTTCTTTGTGGCTTTTTGAATTATATGTTAATAGTTTTTCTCTTCTATTAAAATCATTGTCAGAATTCTTGGTTATAATTCTTCAGTTAGTTTGTTTAAAGGTTTCTTCTCTGTGAGGCTTTCAATATCTCTTTCTGTAATTTTTTTCTTCAATATTTCTTCTTTTTCTTTAGCTTCATTATGTTTTTGTTTCAGAAGCTTTGCTTTCTGTTGAATTTGCATCTTTTTTTTTTCCTTTCTAATTCTATTTTTCCTTTTTTCTGCTTGTTGTTTTATTTCTATTAATTCTACTAATTTTCTAAAATGCTGTAATAATAATTTTGATATTATTCTATTATACTGCCTTTGTTGATACTTTTTCTGCTTATCTAGTCTTTTCATTTATCTTGTCTCTATTTTAGCCCTTGTGTACTTGGCAGCTATTTTTTTTTTATTATATGTAAACAGCCTTTCTCTTTTTGCTACATATAGGTTTCTTATAATACTAGTTACTTCATCTAGTAGAATGTGTTTTGTTGGGTCTAATGATTTGGACTAAATTATATTTCTATGTCTGAAATATTTCAGATTTTAATAAGTATTCTAAAATAATAATTCTAAATTCTGAAAGTCTAAAATAAATCTGATAAAAATCTGATATTCTGATAAATCTAATTAAGTCTGATATTATATTTAAAGCAATTAATAATGATATGTAGCTCCAGATTAAAACTGGAAGTGAATATACAAGTTTTTACTATGCCAAATTAACTATGCTTGTAATTAAAATTGTGTTATTTAATTAAACCGGACTATCTAGCTATTTTATAATATGCTTATATAAATTAATACTGGCAAACTGAATTTTTATTTGAAATTCACAATCAAAAATATCTGCACAATAATAGTTCTTTATCTGGTTTATTTGAATATCTGTTAAAGTTTATTATGAACAGATAAGCAGATACAGATAAGCTCTAAATAGATAGACAAATCTCATCTCTACTTTAGCTTTATATTGAATCAAATTAAAGTGTCATTAATAAATTGAAAGAAACTTTATTTGATGTCGATTCTTATTTGAATATGATTAATCGCACTGTACTAATTAGATATTTTTGAATCAAACTTAAATACAAATGATTATTTCGTTATATTAAAAGCTAATTATATTATATATATATATGAGTGCTATCAAGGGAAAACCTGTTATCAGGCTTTTGATTATATTATGTATTGGACATATTCCCTAAGAAATTAAATAGATTTTGTCTGGTACAAAATATAATTGAAAGACTAATCACAGATTTTCTTTTAGCAACACTTATATATATATATTTAAAAAATATTTATATTTGATAAAGTACTGATCATTAAAATTTTCTTTAATAAAAATTGATTTTGGATAATATTATAATTTATTTGCGTAAGGGTGTAGCAACTTAGTGAAGTTGGCAAGTTGTTGCACCTTTAAGTAGCAGGACTAGAGTTTGAATCCCACTGGCAACAAAAATTCGAATTTAAGAAAATACATTTGGAAAACTTTATTCTATTAGATTATAGAACCTGTAATGATGGTTATACCAGCTTGTACTGGAAGATAGTGGAATATGTAGTGTGATGTACAAGTTATACGAAATCTAAGTGAAGCTATCAGATAAATCTAGTGAATTTACAAGATATGGGAGTCTGCTTGGCAAGATCTGAATAGGGAGGTAGCACAAATCTTCAATGGTATTATGTAAAGGATTATCAACTAAAAACTAGAAAAACTGAACAGGACTAAAGTATTTGGCAAGGCACTCCACCAACCTAGCCGCTGAAGAGTAATCAGATGAAAAGGACCTAACTACAGGGACCAAGGGCAGGTTACAGCCCTTCTAGGCCATCTGGATTAGGAGTTTGAGATGACGGGTATACAGAGAATAGTCTATATAGTAGGTGCTGAGGTTTGCATGAACTCTATAAGGGCGGTAGTAGGTAACAGTAGTGGCTTCAGCTTGCAAGTACTTGTCCTTGGACTCAGCATAAGTTACCGAAAGTCTAGATTAACCAGATTGTGAGTACAGATAGCTTTAGCAATGATGCCTCAAGGATAAATTAGTCCTAAAGGTATAGGTGAGAATCTGGAACTTTGTAAAGATATAACAGTGATATAGGTAAAGTTGTATTACAAAGGGTTTAATTGGATAGCTCAAGTAATAGTGGGTTATAGATACAACATTTAGTATAGAATCTAGCAATAAGTAGATACTTAATTAGACACTCAAAAGGTGCAGGCATGGCTAGAATATACTCTCTAATGTATAGGATTGGGATGAGCTCCTTATTCAATAAATACTTGAATAAAAACTTTAGTCCCAAAGAGGCTAAGTAAAGAGAAAAAAAATTAATAATTTATTTGTGTGAAAATGATAATAACATATCACACAGGAAACATATCTCTAGTATTCACAAATAAGCATTAAAATTAATTATATAAATTGCATTTATAAATTGAACGCTACTTTTATTAATCCTGATTATTTAATAATTTTACTAAACTATTTTAGTTTAATAATGCATCAACCTCCTTTTTAGGATCCCAATCCTCCTTATTATTTTCTGTATTATTATCCTGAACAAAAATATTTGCCTTATCAGAAAATTCTAAATTAGTATTAACGATTATTTCAGCTAAATTATTTGTAAAATCAGCTGCATCAAGATTCAATAATTCCTCAATTTTAAAAATTTTTTCTTCTAGTAGAGCTTCATTTGCTAGTTTTTCTTTATTCAGGTGTCTTCTTTCATTCACTAGTCTTTGTTCATTTGCGAGTCTTTCTTCATTTGCTAGTTTTTTTTCATTTATTAGTCTTACTTCATTCGCTAGTCTTTCTTCATTACAAGGCTCTTTATTGTAGTCATAATCATTTTCATAAAAATTTATATTCGATAATGCTTCATACAAAATTTTAATATTAGAAGAAAAATAAGATAATTTTTTTTTTGAATTTGCAAGATAAAAAACAGAAAGCTTTTGCATATTTTCAACTTTGCCTAAAGAAAGGCATATACAACATTTGGCATAATACCACTCTAAGGTAAACCAAATTTTTTCGCATCTGGCTGCATAAGGTGTCACAGAAAATAGCTTATAAGCTAATTGACAGATATGATCTTTATCCTTTAAAAAATTATCCTCCAATGCCATCCATCAGATTAAAGGAGATTTACTATTATTGAATAATACATTAAATGGCAGATTGCGATATTGATAGTTTCTTATTTGAGATATTAAAACTTTTCTTTTTTTAGGTTTTTACCTATTTTTTTATAATAACCATTAGCTGCCAAAAGAATACATCGGAATGTTCTTTGCACCCATACATCTATAATAATATAAATTTTATTAAATTTAAACCAATCAAACTTAAATTTAGAAATAATAATTTACCAGTATATCTAGGATGTAAAATAAAATATAAAATATATGTATTATCATCAAACTCTGCAAATCTTCTATTAAATATTGTAATTGTTTGTTGACGAAAACTATGATAATCATTCTTTGGAAGTTTCTTAATTTCTGCTCCCAAATGAACTAGACCGATAAAACAATCAGCTAGTAAACAATCTTGTGATTCAAGAATAGATATAGCTAGCTTAATAGAGTAAAGTACAAATGCCAATACATTCAAATCATTAAAAAATGCTCTTGTACGTAGTATTGATTAAACTGAAACATTTACTGTATCATTATTACAGATCTATAAATAATAATAAATATTAAAATAGATATTAACAAAAAAGTATTAAATTATTATATTTTCAACTTACCATTTCTAAAGGCACTTTATGTCTTATAATTGAAAATACATAATCATACATAGTATGCCAACAGGTATCCACCCACCACTTAAGTCCTCCTCCTTCAACTAAATTTTCTTTAGCTAGAATTTTAAGTGTACTTCCTATATTTAAAATATATTAATAATACTCTATTTAATAATATTCTATTTAATAATATTATTTACACATAATAATTTAAATTACAGACCTGCAAGATGATTTCTTTTAAAATAGCTAACCACAGTATTACAACGCGTAAGCATGCGACTTGCAAATGATATATTACAAACATCCTTTGAGATAAGGTTAACAGAGCATGACCGAAATCCAATATGCACGAATGTTACACACGATTTTTATATATGAAAATCATATAGAGAACTATACGTC